AAAAAAATCAAAATGTTCTGTATTTTTGTTTCCCAATTCAAGTATCTAAATTTACTTCAGTCAAAACACATTTACTTGAGATGCAAATGTAAAATGAAGTTTTAAAAACTGAACAAAATTAAGTGATTTTATGCTTAAAACCAGAACAAACATCTGTCAATGGAGTAAGCAAACTTGTTTTTCCTTGATTTTTCTGTGCCCATTGGCGGATGCTTGTTCTTGTTTCTTGTTTTAATCATAATCAAAACGGTTTGATAAATTTCTCATAAAACAAGACTTCAGCTTTGCTTCTGAAGTAAATCTATCTTGATCTATTAATTTTCTGACATTTGCACTGGAAAACAAGACAAAAATATGAAGAACGTCACTTTTCTACAGTGTGATCAGAAGGTATGGTAGAAGTTATTTCTGTATTCTAGTGATTGGGAGCAAAGCTAAGATTCATTTACATTAAGAGAAGGTTTTGTGTTTCCTTTAATGTATTCCTTCAATTTTCTTCATTTGGTCTTGATAAGGTCTTTAAAAAGTCATACATTTATCTTCATAAAACCTAAAGAAACCCTGATATGTAAATATTGCTAAGTCTACCACGTTGCTACAGACTGACTATATCACAGTGCAAGTCCATCTCAGTAACTGATGTTATTGGAGGCGTCACATTGCATAAACAACACACATTCGTCACAAGTCAACATTCAAACTAACAGCACATTTCATACTGCGAAGGGATGGCTTTCATTGCGTGAAAGCGTCCAAGCATGTCATTTGTTACAGATGAACATTGTTCTCCATTACTTAGAATGTCTTCGCCATCAGTCATTTTGTTGTACAGATTTCACATGATCCATTTGTCTAGTTTAGTATTCACTCTTTCTCTGGGAATAATATTCTTTATTCTGATTCCATCGGTTAATAAACTCTATGTTTTATGGGGGATGGAAGTTTCAAATCAAATACAGAAACCATAATAATCCATATATATATAATAAACTCTCTGTAACCATCGATTTTGTAGTGACATATGGTGTACTATATTTCTGTCTGAATCTTTTCTTTCTATTAAAGGGGAATTCCATATTTTTTTACCCTCAGAGCCATTATAACGCTCATCTGTGGAGTGGAATAGTGGAAATCCCCTCGCCTGCATCTGTTGGGATATGTGCTGTTGCTTTATTATGTATGTAATGATGATGTGCAGCTTAACATCTGACCCACACTGAATCACAGTTTGTATGGAACTGATACATGAGATCACAGATTGCATTATGTTCCCATCAAGTTATTGTTAAAGATGCCAAAAAATGAAATAAGTCTTTTAGTCACTTCCTTTCTATACACAAATCCATCATAATGATACTCAAAGGAAAATCCCTCCTGCATTTGACTCCATGTCAAGTAGAGTGAATCTTAAGTTATCCAAGTTTAAGGATGTCTTCCACTCTGTTTATTGTTCGCATTGTCATAGACTTTATATTGACATAAATGCTCACAACAGCAAGGTCATGGTTTTGATAATTTAATATGTCTCTTATACACACAAAAAAGCATTTGCCAAATGCAAATAAATTGATATTCTACTACATACACTGGACTCAACTGCATATGTTTAGTGGCTTATTTTTGCCTCTCTGAAACCAATATAATCAAGAAACTGATATTTTATTAGAATATATTGAGTGCTTTGGTAGCCTATGTATCAAAATGTATCAACCAATTCGTCAGTCAATGTAGCCAAATTTCTGTTATTTTAATGTAATGTTTTGTTATCTTAATACACATGACAACAGATTATATTTCTGCGTCGTCATTGGCTGACAAATCAATGTCAGCCAATCAATATCAAGGCTCAATGAAAGTTGCTAAATTTGAGTTTGAATATCATTTTTGCGTGACTTTAGTAGCTAGAGTGACAGCTGATAATTTACCTCAGATCTTGGAAATATCTTCAATAAATTAATTAAAAGAACAAGAATGACTGCAAGAGACAAAAGGAAATGATGGGAACGATAGGATACCGGCAGTAGGAAGGCGGCAAGTCAATACAATTGTGTTGATGAATGAGTCATTGAGTCATTCATTCAAGCGATTCGTGCAAAATGCTGATTCGTTCAAGAGCAAACCAAATGAGTCATTGAACCATTCATTTAAACGATTCATTCAAAGACTCGGATTCATTCACGAACGAAACACCACACTGTGCGCCTGTGCTTGGAGTCAAATAAAACACGCCGTTTTGTGTCTAAAATGAAATCAACTTATACTCATTATTTATGAAATAGTGATGCAAAGTCCGATACATAGAAATGCATTCCAAAAAAAAGAGTTTTTTTGACCCCTACACTCTTCATCCGTTCGAAGCTCTTACTCCGGAGGGTAAACCCTTTGAAGGGATTAGGGTGTAGGGATGAGTCCTTCCGAATGGAACACAGGGCCAGTTTATCCATTTTTAAGGTGCCCGGGAGGAGACGTTAAGTTCACTTAGTTTTGTCGTGGTCACGAGAAATGGATGTTGTTCCCTCAACATAGAATCTCGAGGCCACGACTTTACATCACGTCATATTATCACATATTATCACGTTCTCACGAGTTAATATGATGTTCCCACAAGTTAATATTAAATTAATATAGTGAACCGAACATGTCCCCTCTTGGTCACCGTAATTTTCTACCCCTGAATGTAAAAACGAAAAATAAAGGCAATTCTTTTTTTTATTTATTTTTTTTTGAAAAATGGTGTTCATGTATCTGTTTTCAATATTAAATTTTTAAAAATGAATGAACGCAACGTAACACGCATTTGTGTGCTTATTAGGTTTTCTACCAACTTTGATTATTTCATATATATATAAATAAATAAATATATATATATATATAATGACGTTTTTCCACAGCCATTACAGTGGTGAACATTTTTAGTTAGTAGAATAAAGAATAGGGAAACCATTTGATCGTAACTGTTTGAGTGCCTGACCTGATTGTTGATATCGAAACAAGTGAAGGGCTTGATTTCTGGGAAAATAGTGGTTATAATGTGAATACAAAGTCTTGCAAACATTTCATCACAATTTCAATGAGTCATAGAAGTGTCAATGACTTGAAGGATGTGGAAAGACACGTGTTTTCTGTGACTTCCCACTTTAAGTCAATGTTTGGACAATAACCCAACTTGACATAAACAGTTATTTTTTGTGATTATAGTCAAGTATTTATGTCCTGTTTGATGTGAGTGAGAGGTTAAAGCAAGGGAATTATTTTTATTACCGTTCTGAAAGATTTTTACGTTGCTTACATTTGCACCTCAAGATTTCATTTACTTAAGTTTCATCTTTATCCTTCAGGTGGAAATGTCGTCTAGAAAGCTCCCTTAGTCTGCGGCCGACAGATTGTGTACGAACTGCAGCGATTTTGAGATTAAAACCATTTTTGTGTCATACATCAAATTTCATTATGCAAATCCTTCACTGGAAACACGACTGGGAATTCTTTGGAAAGTGTAAAAGTGTAATTTTAATGTACACAATCCTGGAAATAATATTAAAACACCTGGATAAAACCTGGATTTATTATTCTCGGAAGAGAAACATTGCAGTTGTGTGTCCTGATAATCCAGGAATGCCCTCCAGGCATACTGTATTGAGAGACTGGAAATGAAACAATGACACCATTATATCATATCCTTTCAATTTATTTAAGAGGGACATGATGGAAAACCAGGACAGGTAGTTTTAATAGTAGCATGCCCATGGGAACTTGTGGACTGAAGACAAGAGATGGGAGGAACAGGAAAATGTAGGGACGATAGGCTGGACGATCACCCAGAACACCCCAGCAACCGTCCAAAATACCCTAGCAACCACCTAGGAATCACACAGAACACCCTACGGATGAAGTTTTTAACTGGGCCACAAGGGAGTCCTTTGGTCCACACAAAATTTTTGGGGAAAAGACATGACATTTATTTTTATTTTTTTGCATTATCAAAATTACTTCACATATTATGTTTTTAATACATTTACAAAATTTGATATTATTATTATTCCAGTTTCAGACATGAGATTAATCAGAACTATTTTACACTGACATCCTTAGTTTTAAATAACAATAAAACATTTTTTTTTTAAAAATCATACATCTAACATTATTAGTGGATAGAAAATATACACTGTCAGTGTAATTAAGTACGATAGGCTGGACGATCACCCAGAACACCCCAGCAACCGTCCAAAATACCCTAGCAACCACCTAGGAATCACACAGAACACCCTACGGATTAAGTTTTTAACTGGGCCACAAGGGAGTCCTTTGGTCCACACAAAATTTTTGGGGAAAAGACATGACATTTATTTTTATTTTTTTGCATTATCAAAATTACTTCACATATTATGTTTTTAATACATTTACAAAATTTGATATTATTATTATTCCAGTTTCAGACATGAGATTAATCAGAACTATTTTACACTGACATCCGTAGTTTTAAATAACAATAAAACATTTTTTTTTTTTAAATCATACATCTAACATTATTAGTGGATAGAAAATATACACTGTCAGTGTAATTAAGTAAATATTCAGTGGAAATATACTCTGCATTAAAGGGGTCATATGATGCGATTTCAATTTTTCCTTTCTCTTTGGAGTGTTACAAGCTCTTGGTGCATAAAGAAGATCTGTAAAGTTGCAAAGACTAAAGTCTCAAATCCAAAGAGATATTCTTTATAAAAGTTAAGAGTCAACCACGCCTACCTAAAACCATATCACAATATGGCAAGGGACGTAACATTTCCGTCACACGCTTGAGGTATTCGGCCAATCACAACGCACTGGATAGCTGGCCAATCACAGCACACCTCGCTTTTCAGACCGATGAGCTTTGTAAAAATCGACGCGTTTCAGAAAAGCGGGGCATAGAGGAGAAACAATAATGTACAGTATGTGGAAAATAATGTGTTTTTTTTACCTTAAACCGCATAAACACATTTCATTACACCAAATACACAAAATAATGTTCTTTTTAGCAACATCATATGACCCCTTTAATCCGTGTCTACCATTCCGCTTCATGCTTGTCAACCTCCACTAGTTTCCCTCATTAGGGGCAATAAAAACAGTCAGCAATCAAAACAATTGTGACTTAATCAGGCAGACACATTATTATCCCTGTTGGCATAATTATAACGGTTATTTGAAGGACAGCTATCCTGATGTCGTGAGGAAAGACTGACGCATGATTAATCTAAAAGACAGAGGATATACAAAATGTCGGGGGAAAATCAATTAAAAAAACTCTCATGTCGTCTTTTAAATATCTTGAATTTATTATCAGTATTTTGACAGTTTAATGATGCATTTTTCTTTTGCTCTTTATGGTTATGAGGAAATAAAGCTCAGGCTCTGCTGGGGTTCTGTGCAAAAATTTTAACACCAAACCTTTCTGGCAAAAATTAAACGAATCAAAAATTCTATATTGACGAAACATTTTTATGAAATAGATGGAAAGACTGTTAAAACTGTTAAGAATAATAACAGTGTATTTTCCAATAAATTACCCATGATGCTGTACAACCAGAGTATAACAGAATAAGGGAAATAATAATAATAAACAAAATAGACAAATGAAGTGTAAAGTCAAGTTTTCAGTCCACGTGCAAGAAAGTGTCTATAGATGGCGCTTTTGCAGGTCGTATGGTAAATCAGCAGACTTTAAGATAGTCTTTAAACCGGGTTTCTTCCTTTGATTCCTCTCGGTTCATCTGTTAATGCTTTTGGATGCTCATTGGATGTGTGACTGATGGCCATTTCAGCTTCATATCGTCCATTTCAGAGTTTCTGGTCACTGCAAGATAAAATACTGATTGAACACATGACCATAATTATATAATACAGTGCTCTGTATGAGTGATGTTCCAAAAGTGATCATATTTCTTACAATGACAAGGTTTATTTTTATTTTTATGTAGGACTACTTACATTTTAGACACCGTATTCTTTTTTTTTGTTTTCCCTTTATTCAGTTCCACCACACAAAGGCACAAGGCAAACATAGAGAAACGTTGCACACGCATCTCAAAGCATGCAAAACAGAACAACAGCAACAACAAAAAACGCAAAATGAATACAAACATATATATAAAAAATAAAATAAAATAAAAAATAACAGGATAAAAAAGTAATACATACATTAGGGCAGTTAAATAATTTTTGAAAAGCTTTAGAATTGTTATTGTTTTTATAAGCTTCTTATTTTGTGATCTCATATTAGAAAGGGTTTCAAAGTATATTTTAAGATCAGTGTTACAAAATGTAATATATGATGGTTTCTTTTGAATTACTTTTGACTTATGAATATAAAACTTTGCTAAGATAATTAACAGATTAATAATGTAAATCTGTTATCAGAAAAAGATGGGTTTTGATAAAGTAAAATATCATGAGGTTCAAAATGAAGGGCTTTGTTTAATTTTTTGTGTTAGGTCTATTTTAAAGTCAACCCAAAATGAAATAGAAAAAGGGCAATAGAAAAATAAATGTTCTATATCTTCAACAGATATATTACAAAAGGTACATGTATCACAAACACTATGCATATATCTGCTAACAACTGCATTTACAGGATAACATCTGTGAATAATTTTGTAAAGTATTTATTTTACTTTATTATAAATTACATATTTATATGGTAACATCCAAATGCTGCGCCAAGATATACAATGAGGTTTAAGCCATTTTGATTTACATGGAGGATTGGATCCGACATTAAAGGAGTTTCTTATAAAACTGTTATTAAAATGTTTGTCAAAAAAGGAGAGACCATTTACAAAAAGTTGGAGATTTTGTAGGCTTGTATTATTAATATTTACATCAGAGAATTTGGTTAAAATTATTATGCCACTGGGAATAGCCTTAATTACTTTGTTAAATTATTTTTCATTTACACAAAAAGCCATATTTTGTAACAAAATTAGGGTAAGTCTATAATTGCTCATTCTTGTCAATAAGCATGTTTAAAATTAATATGTTATGCCGAACCCAATTCTCCACATACAATGACTTGTTATTATGAGTGATATTACCATTGTTCCATATAAAACACCTGCTAGGAGCAAAATTGTGTTTGTACAAAAGTGACCAGTAAAGCAATGCTTGTTTGTGATAATTGGCCAAAGCAATAGGAAGTTTACCAGTTATATAAGGACACTGCAACAAAAAATGTAATCCCCCAAGTTACATTTTTTTTTTTTTACATTTTTCGAATAAATGATATGGGACAATATTGAAAATACTTGTTTGATTATTTTAAGTTTCAAAAGTTTACATTTTTAAAAGTTGGTTGAAAATCGTAAAATTAAGAACATTTAACCCACCATCAGTTAGTTTGTTAATAAGAACACTTTTTTATTTTATGAGGTTTGTTTCTCCAGATGAAATTAAAGAGTATTTTATCCATTTGTGAGCATATATCCTTTGGGGCACTAAGTGAAGAAAGGAGGTATGCTGCTCTCGAAAGACCTTCTGCCTTACTTAATAAAATTATTCCTTGAATAGAAAGATCTCTCGCCAACCATGAATTATACCTCTTTTGTATTTTCTCGATAACAGATATAAAATTTGAGTTGACATTTGCATCAGTATTTTTAGAGATTTTGATTCCCAAATAGTTTACCATGCTTTTAACAGGAATATTACATACAGTGGATAGGTACACACTTAGATAGATTTCAATTCAATCCAGAGAATTTTGAAAAATTATTAATGATTTTCAAAGCCAGAGGTACCTCAGAACTATCACCAAGAAATATTGTTGTGTCATCAGCAAGCTGCGATATTTCAATTTGTCTTTCATGAATTGCAATACCTTTGAAGGAATGTTGATTTATCATATTACTTAAAACTTGAGCTACGACTTTTAGACACAGTATTGAGAGTCACTTTTGTCTGTTTTCAAAGGAAGCAAAAGCAATCAGCTGATTCAATGACTCACTCACTAAAAACAATTGTTTCATTCTGAATGTTTCGATTCAAATGATTCATAAAGCCAGTTCCCTACTGACATAACAATGCATCTTGCTTTGTAATGTTTATTTTGATTCACACCGCACAGACAAACACCAACAGACAAGTTGGCTCCTGGATTTAGAATTTAATGAAAAATAACGGTCTTGTTCACACTGCCCCAACAGACACTGTCAAATAGGGATGAGCATATCGATCCTGAAGTATCAATATATCGATACTGATGCGAGTATCGAAAGTATCCATACTCAAAAAATATCGATACTAAGGTGTGTTTTTTATCAGTGATTTTGTTTATTTAACAAAAAATTTAATGCGCACAATATGCATTGATTGAATTGTACGAATAGCCTGTAATAGCGAATAATTCTGCTCATCTGAACACACGTAAATGATGCAAGACAGAACCAATCAATCACAGAGAGCGTTCACTCACTGCTGACAGTGCATTCAAACAGGGCTGCGTTTTCAAAAATTATCAAAAGAAACCATTGATGCTTTTGGGAAATGCAGCCCAGAACAATGCTTATCAGAGGACAGAAAAAAAACATATATGTTTGAGTTATTTCACAATAAACAAATTGAAATTGTGGCCTATAGTTTGTGCAATTACATTTAGTTAAATTGAATGTTAAAAGTTCATATTGATCATGTTCTATTCTGTAATGTTAGTATAAATGTCAGAATAAAAAGGTTGCATTTTCTGCATGCAACAGCCTGTCACTGGCAGTCCCTTACGAAAATTAAATATGGTTTTACTAAAGTGACCGTAGTTCAACTATAGTAATATAGTATTAATAAGTTGCAATTAAGGCATATTGAATGTTAAAATGCGTTTCAAATATAAAGTTAAGTAGGTATCATTACCCACTTTACTCTTAGTAATTTAATAAATTTCATAATTTAAAAGTTCAGTTTAGAAGTATCGTATTGGTATTGATATCAACGATAATGGCCTTTAAAAGTATCTGTATCGTATCGAAAACAAAAATAAGTGGTATCGCCCATCCCTACCAACAAACTTCGAGTCAGAGAGAGGGGGGTGGGGGGGTGGATGATCCTGTAACCACAATCAAAATGTTACTGTTATTAATGTCTTTGCGTGTCATTCTTCGGCTGAAAAGACGGCGAATAAAACGAAAGAGGCTGTGGATGAAGCCGTGGTTGCTGCTATGAACGGGAAGACGGGGCGCCTACTTGAATTTATGCAGAGAACTGCAATGGGAAGATTTACAAAGTGCTTCGGTTTGTCCAGAAACCTGCCATTTTTAGGATAAATGGCTAAGCACACCCAGCACTTACACACAGTCATGCCTCATCATCATGGCAACGGTTCGTGGTGCCAACAGGGGTAACACACTGATCCAACAACCTCCGACAGACTGTCTTGTTGGTGTTTGTTGGCGTTTGTCTGTGCGATGTAAATTGGCCTTAATTATGCTGATTTGCTGCTCAAGAAATATTTCTGAATATTGTCAATGTTCAAAACAGTTGTGCTGCTTCATATGTTTTGGAAACCATGATCATTTCTTTCAGGATTCTTTGATGAATAAAAAGTTTAAAAGAATAGCACTAATTTGTAATCGAAATGTTCTGTAACTATATGAATGTGTTGTATATAAATAGAATAATATAATTTTTGATGTACTGTCAGTTTTAAAGTATTAATTTAATTCAAATATATTACTGGAACCAAAATGTATATGTAGATATATGTATATATGCGTGTATGTGTATATATACACACACACACACACACACACACACACACACACAAAACAGTTGTTTCTGGTGCTCGAACCTGATTGGCTGATAAAAGTGCTATATTCTAGTGATAACAGCACTCCAAACGTTTCACCGTTTGTATCACTCCGCTTGCAGTATTTCTCACAGAAAGTGTCATGACGGACACCCAAATCTACTATAATTTCTACTATAATATACTGTTTTTGTGTCACAGAATGTAGTTTTAAGAGTTTTTAGGTTAGAATGAACTCTTTGACTTCAAATATGCGGTTTGTTTATAAAGATAACGTCTATTTGAAAATTTGCCTCAATGTTTTCAGAGATGTGAGCGCCAGGGTGTCAGCGGCCGTTCAGAGCTCATGAACCCGCCGAGAGCAGCCTCACCTCGGCCAGATCTTCTGGAATTTGCCGCTGGCTCACATGCCTCTATAGTGGTTAAACATGAGATATAATTAGTTTTGGGTCAATCTAACGGGCAGACTTTGGTCTCATTAATCTATTATTTGTTCCAGAGCAAATAGTTTTGGCTGAGGACAAAATCTCATCACGTTATATTTTATAAAACTTTAATGCTGTATATGCTTTTGTACTTTTGACTGAAATGCCTAGCAACTTTTATGATGGCTGTTGTTGTTTATTAAATATTATTATTCAATAAATAATATTTTATATAAATAGTAGTAATAATAGTATTTGGTATTGAGAAACAGTGTGTGTTCGTGATGGTGATTAGTTTCATTGTTCCGCCATTAGATCAGATGGCGACAAGAGACTGTTTTTATGAGTGAGTCCGCAGTAAAGACTTTTATATTGAAACAGACTGAAACAAACAAGGAAGTTATTTTTACTTTCTACAACAGCTTGTAAGACGCAGCCAACAAACACACTGATCAGCGCTGTCATCAGAAATCATCCTTAACAGATGAAAGGACAGTACGACAAAGATATCGCTTTCCTCAGCGGACATGCAAACTCATGTTGTATTGTGAATATGAGATTGAGCTGAAGAATGAATGCTGGATCAGATGCAGGTAATCACACTCGCTCAGTCAATCTCGCTCTCATAATACTCTACATATAATACAGAGAGCTTTTAATACAGTGATACAACAAGCTTTCAATGAAGCAACTCAACGTTCCTTCGTTACTAAAGTTCTAAAGTGACGTTTTTGAATTAGTAACGGAGGATTGAGCTGTTCAGCTGTTAAACTGAGATTTGAATCTGTGGCGGAAGGAAGTAGTTCTGCACAAAAGAGGGTTTTAAAAGACACTCCTTGTGTTTTATTTATTTACACACTCATGCCGTCGAACTGTTGTATAAACGCAGTATATCAGTCAGTAAGTCTGTAAACGGGATGTGAAGACGAACGAAAATGCTGCTCACTGTTCACGATGCTCAAAATATTGGAAGAAAATCTAAATATTGAATTAGTGATGGGGGTTTTATGAATGTATCTCTGAGGGGAACTGACTGTCTTCAGAAAAGTTTAGATGGTATTTTCTTTTCATCTTGCTTTTGTATTGTGCATACTAAAGTAGTATTTCTAGGCGCTGTGCTGCTTTGTTTACAGCAGTAACCAAGGAGTTTTTAAAGAGATTAACCAAGCAGATATTAAAGAGTATCTGCTGTTCCAGAAGTGCCTCCTGCTGTCAGAGAGTGAATCTGCGTCTCATTCAGTCCGTTTGCTGTTTCTGTTTGAAATTACATCAAATTTAATATAATTTAAATCAGAAACTGCTCATGTATGCAGCATCTTTGTTTGGATTGTGATTAAAATGCAGTGGTTTCCTCTAATTTTAAATGGCTAGAGTTCAGCCTGTAATAGAGCAAAAAACATCTTGTTCATGTAGTCATATTTTCATTCTATCTTATCTCTTGTTTTAAAAAAAATAAAATGAATATTAACAATTCGGTGTCAGAGTCGGCCCATTTGCTTGCAAAAAATGGCCATGAAAAAATCAAGATTGGTGCATCTCTACTGACTTCTGACAGTCAGTGTGAACATTGATGTGTTTCCCAATGTTCTATCCAGTGGTGAACATTAAGAGAAGTATTTCAGTAATTCAGTAACTTGTTAACTAATAATTTTGAATATTGTCAAAAGTAGGCTATTAGTACTGCTGTACCAAGTCGATACTGAAATTTTAAAAACGTAACAAAACCAGCCGTTCTGCAGAACTGGTAGAACTAAGTACAGACTCAATTCAGAACTCACTCATATTTATTTCACTTTCCGTGAACAGTGATATGCAATGGCCAATCAGAGGTGTTTTAGTCAGAATCAGCTCATTTTTCACTTAACCATTTTAAATACTTAATTGAAAAATATTTTAAGAATACAAGTCAATATTTTAAAATATTATATATATATATTTGTTAATATTATTATTAGCATTAATAATGAACTGATTTTTTTTTGTTAAATAAAATAAATTCTTTTTTTTTCTTTGCTTTTTTTTTGCTATGGTACTGATATTGGTTTTGAAAATCATTTGTTGTAATGTATAGCCTAATTAAGAGCTCATATTAAAGAGCTGATTTTATAGGTAAATCATGGCCATAAACTGTGTTTTTAAAGACTTGGAGAGAGGAATTACTTTAGAGCGTGATCCTTGTCTTTTATTCCAGCTGTAATTAAATTAAAAATGTCCTGGAAAAGTCCTCGAAGTCCTGGAAAATGATCACAGAAAAAGAACCCTGTATGATATATACATTGATTCATTCATTTATTTATAATTCACTCATTCAGCAGTGACTATTATTCGTGTGATACTGCTAAAATACCCAGTGAAACATCTATACAAAGTTAACTGAGCTAAAAGTACGTAGTCAAGTCATAGTATTTTTATGACTCACAAGCATTCTTAAATGAACTAAACCATTACGAATATCTAAGCTGATCCAAAACAAAAATGACAAGCATATAATTACCTCTCTATATTATCTATAAGTATTCTATATTATCTCTCTGCATGCTCAATGAGACTCAGAGCTCAATGTTACTACAGCAACGCTCCGACGACACACCGCAGAGCGCCAAAGCGAGGAAACTAAATAAATAAATAAAAAATTAACAAAAATACATTTTGGGAAAAAAAAAAAAAACCTAAACGGACTAATCAATGTTAATGGAAATCCTAAATGACTTTGATGAGCTCCTCTAATCTGTCGAGCGTGAGTCAAAGCAGAGGGAGGCCTGAAGCCAGGGTGAAACGACCTACTGTCCTGTTTGGCTCTGGTTCTCAGAAAGCAGATGAAGTGAAGTAACAGACAGCCGTGCTTCGGCGTGTGTAGCTTCATTATGGTGGGTCACACACCTGGTTGTCCGGTGCGCTGTGAGCGGGCGCTGGCATCCCCGTGTGGCTGAGAGCGGGAATCCTGCTGGGCTGCCCGCGCAGCGTCACCGTGATAGTGGTGGGAACTTTGAGTCCTGCAGACAACACACACACACACACCTCCATGTTTCATTGGGACTTTCCATAGACATAATGATTTTTATACTGTACAAACTGTATTTTCTACCCTAACTCTACCACTAAACACAATGCATACAGAAAACATTCGACACTTTCACATTTAAAAAGTAAATAAATAAAAAATAAATAAATGTGTAATTTATAAACGGTCTTCCTCATGAGGACCCTACAAGATCAAAATTGACTGGTATTACTATTCTTACTATCCTGACATAGGGAATACCAGGACTGCGTGCGCACACACACACACTGGTTTCAATGTTTTATGGGGACATTCCATAGACGGAATAACTTTTATACTGTTCAAACAGTAAACACAACCCTAACAGAAAATGTTCAGCATTTTTTTTTGTTTTTTTTTACATTTTCAAAAAACACTATTTATAAGCTGTTTTCCTCATGGGGACCTAAAAATGTACCCACAAGGTCAAAATTTCGGGTATTATTATACTTTTGGGTGCCCTCCAGGACCACACACACACACACATTACAGGAATCTCGTACTATGAAATATCTTAAAACAAAAAATGTTTTTTCTTTCCCCTAAATCTGATAAATACAGGTTGTTTGTAAACATGTAAGAATGTGAAATACTTATTAAAAAAAAAAAAAAAAGAGAAAAAAATCATGCATCTTGCATCTTATTATTTGCTTATTAATTAGAATAAAACTGACAATGAGAGTTCACCATACTCATATTTATATTTAAAATAATATTTTAAGTCTGATATGTTTTGTCTATAACTTAATGTGATAAAGCACATTTACCATGAACAAGTAATGAATAAATTCATGTTTTACATATGAAGCAGGTGAATGCAACACATAGGAGCGACACAGGTGATAAAATCATAGAATTATTTCTTTTAATTCACCTCCTATAAAGCCTATAGTCAAAACTAAGAAACTTACATTTTTGTTTATTTAGGCATTTCAAAGTTTATTTGCACTTTTATCTTGAGTCCCGAAAGAGCGAAACAGGCCATTCTGTTCCCTAAAAATGTTGTGTATAAATCGTGTCCCAAACCAACTTTTTTCCAGAGGTGGACAAAGTACACAATTCTATTACTGGAGTGAAAGTACAGATACTGCTGGTCAAACATCACTCCATTGCAAGTTAAAGTTGTAAAGACAGATTTTTACTCGAGTAAAAGTACAGAAGTACTTGCTTTTAAAAGTACAAAAAGTAAATTTCCTTTTTTATGTCAATGCACTGTTTTATTATTGTTGTATATAATACTTGCAAAACCTTTTGGCTCTGAAGCAACTTGCAATACATTACACCTATTGAACACACTGACTAGCTTGTAGTATCTTTGGAATGAAGAGCTTTTAGAATGTTAAAAACCTATAGAACCTATAGAAACGAAACCAGTTGTTGTGAAATTGCTGTAAATACAGGCTGATAAAAAAAATCAAACCTGCTTTTAAAACCCATCAACACAACTGAATCTGTATAACTTTACAACAGCAACACTGCTTTAACAAGAAAGCAAAACAGCAAGAATTATTTGACATCAAAACAAACATTTTAAATGCTGTCTAATCGCTCTCGAGGTACTTTAATGTCTTACACAGAAGGGTCTGTGCAGTGCTGCTTCAAGTCAAACACCTACTGTGTTTTGTTAAGAGACTCACAACAGTTCTTCTGTGGCTTTATAGGTAATATTTTCATTTACACAATTTTGCAAAATCAGACAATATTGTGTCTAATATATACCACAATATTAACTTCTTATTGAATTGTTGTAAATAAATATCACATTTGCAACTGGTCAGTGTGCTGGGAAATCACTTCACATAACTCTACAAGAGTGATTAACTAATAGGCTGTCTTAAATAAATAAATATTAATAATAAAAAAAAAGTCACGTTTTCGAGAAGAAAAAAAATCACCCACTGACTTTCAAAGCTGCTACATAGTAACGACTTTCTACTTCGAGGACCTTGATAGAAATGTAGTGGAGTGAAAAGTACAATATTTGTCTTTCAGATGTAGTGAAGGTAAAGTCATACGTTTCTAGAAAAAATAATACTCAAGTACAGATACTTAAAAAGTGTACTTAAGTACAGTAATCAAGTAAATGTACTTTGTTACTGTCCACCTCTGCTTGTCTCATTAAGTACTAATTGTAACAGCCTGCTATCAGTCTACACACTGAACCAAAGCCAAAAGTTTAATAATAGCCTTTTTAAAATGACCTAATAATAATTAAAAATGCTAAAAATTTCACTTTTTGTTTTTGTTTTAGCTCCACCAATATTGAAAGACTTACCTAATAAAAATGAATCTCTGCTGATTTAATTATTTTAAAGCATTTAGTCCATCACATTTCAGCATTTGATCAAAAGATGGTACCACAGAGTATTTTACAGTGGGGGTTTTTCTCTCCATGTTGTGTATAATAGATTTTGTAGACAAAAATCAAAGGTCACATACAAATGTCTGTAGGTTTGTGGGATGACTGCATTGTAATAAGGTGTCAGCTGGGGGCGCCAAACATCCTGCTGCATAATGAGTGCATGAAAAGCAACACCAGTGTACTATACAGTATACTGCATACTGCCTACTATTATATACTACATACAGGGTACTATCACTATTAAAAATACGCAGTATACTATGTATATGCTGTAATAATGCTGTCCATCTAAATGCCATTTAGTTTTCATTGTGAATCGTTAAAATGTCTTAAATCTTGTCAATCAGGTACATCACTAGCTGTTCAGATCAGAATTCTGCTTGCTGCACAGTACACACTGCTTAATAGGGCTGGGTTTTGACTAATTTCACGGATCGATTTGCATTCACAAGCTTGCGATTCGATTCGATTACCGATTCGATTCAAAATCTATTATTTTGGATATATATCAGGTACAGTACATGCCAAATTTTCTCAAGGAAGATTTGGAAATTTGGAAAATTAGGAAAAGCAACTAATGCTGTAAAATATATGAGAGTCAGTTGGTACTACATTACTATAATATTGAAGGTTAAGATTGACTGATTTGTTAAAATTATACATAATGGAGTTTTTAAAATAATAAAGTTACAATTGCATAATAATATTTCTACTTCAAGTAATTTGTTTGAAATATAAACATAATGGTGGCTGTCATAAAAACTTGATGGATTTATTCAAACATAAATGAAACATTGAAGAACGGTAAAATGTATAATGAATATGTTATATGGTGCATAGATTTAGAAAAAATGTCTACAGTTTATTTTTCTATCTGACTAATGAGTTAATGGTCACCGAATATGTTTTTCTGAGGTAAATGTGACGTTACGTGACATTGTTTGTTTACAAGCTGTTATATTGCCGTCTTTGCGCAGCTGAAACACAGATTGAGCGATTACATGACAGGATACAGCTTGTAAAGTTGTTTTTTTGTTTGTTTTTTTTTACTTGCCTTCGGATGTTTAGTCATGTTTATTTTGTGCTGAAACTGGTATTAATGTGGATGACATCAGTTCACGTGCGCCTCGCGCTGTTGCGTCTGTTGAACTGAGGCACTACAGCGATCTGTCACTCCAGGTTAAACAGCGCCAAAATGGCATTTATTGTTTGAATACTGCAATACAATAAAAAGAATTTGAAATCTGAGACTTTGTTTCATATTAAAAGTACCAAAGCACAATTCTTATTGCGATTTATTGGATGGGAGGTGCCCTTCAATGTTCCGTCCATTAACTGAAAACAGGCTAGATTAATCGATTCTTGGGATTTAAGAATCGATATCGTTCCGTAAAAAAGAGAATTGATTAATATCGAGATATCGATATTTTTTACCCAGCCCTACTGCTTAACATTAAAAACTACAGAATATTAGCATACTGTATACAGTCTACACTTACTATTGCATTTGACCAAACAACTATGGATTATCCATAATTTGTTTTTTGGTTTTGTTATTTATTCGTATTCGTATGTATTATATAATTTAAACTGCTGCAAAGAACACATGCATGCAGTTAGGAGATGAAAACAAAGCAGAATAATAATGACACAAAGAGGTAGGAAAAATGGTTTGCTGTTGGGGATTTAATGAATGTCTTTGTGAGTAGAGCAAGCCTTATGATTTACAAACTCCTTATCCAACAAAAACAGGTAAACAAATAACAAAAACTGAGAACAGAAGCAAAATGAAAACAGAAAAATGGAACAAACACAACAGCGAGGTGGTCACACTAAGCATGAATGTGTGGGAATTGATCATGACTGTTATTTTTACAGCACTGCCATATAAATATTCTGGTCCTCTGGACATAACAGCAGTTTGAGTTATAGGTCAACCCCTAGGGTACTAAAATGAACAACTTGTGTAAAAGTACACTAGTTCGCAAGCTGAAAAACTCTTCAACGGAATCAGCCCGATATTGTAGAAGAACACCCAATAAAGCTCTTTACATGCATTAAAAAAAACGAAGTTTATGGTACATATTTACATGCTCAGCTGGATGTTTATTGATCTGTCAAAACGTTTATCAGCTTAGATGCTTCTCATGGACTCGACCTTTGACCTTACAGCTACTCGGTCCCTACTCATCGCGGACGCCTCTGTTTGGATCGCTGTGTCATCAGCGGTGACGAGGACGTACCCGTGCTCTGACTGGAGACGTGGGCCAGTCCTGGCAGACTATGGGCTAGTTTGGCCAGGCCGCCGTTGGTGAGGAGATGGTGGATAGTTGTGGTTTTGGTCATCCCGGATCCTGTCGACACGACCGGCACCGCCCGCACTAGTGTGCCGCTGCCACCCGGGCTAAGCGAGCTCAACACCTGCCCCTGACACTGGGGCTTCGCTCCGCACACCTGAACACCACCACACACAGACAGGAGCGGTTCAGTGGGAATTATACATCAGGTTTATTATAAAGTAAGCAATAGAGATATTAGAGATGGGCCGGCACCTGTGTGGTGGAGGGGACGCCTGGTGATTTAGTGTTGATCTCCTGCAGACTGAGGCTGAGGCCCTGCAGCAGACTACTGGCAGAAGGAGCTAAACACACACACAAAGAGTCAGAGAGGATTCTTTGAATTTTTGGCCTATATCATTGTTTGCTGTGTATCACAATAATCCGTCGTGTCATTGCGGTCATGTTTAGACATCAGTGACATCACATTAGAAATCAGTGCCCTTATTTGCACATATGAAGAAGACATGATAATGTGTGCATACACAGTGCTGGTTCATGTTTAGAGCACGAGAGAATATGAAATGTTCACAAAAACTTGAAACACGCTTGCTCCAGTCCAGATATGAACTACGATCCACGCAGCGAGTGTTGTTAAACTCCTCACGGCGTTCAGAGCAGAAACTGCTCTCTCATGCACGCTCCACACATGGTTACATATTAAATATGTGTCATGTTAACCTGAAAGCGCACAAGCTCTTTCATAAGATTTGAATTCTCCGCTGTAAGATGACCTCATGCGTAACAGCGCATGATGGGATCATAAGAGTACATTCTCATGAATAATTCTGAGAAAAGCTCAGAAAACTGATGACTTCGATTTGTACTCTCCAGCCACGGCAGCCGATCACCACTCCAAATTAACACATATACGTGACTTTTTGAACTGGAAGAACGAAATGGCTTCAAAAAATGAAAAAATAACCACTTTTCCATTAATAATAGACTAAATGAGTGCTATTGTTGTTTTAACTGATGTGCAACCTGTACATACTGTATATGCTAACATCTCAAAAACTGTGTTTTAGGGTTTCATGACCCTTTAAACTAGGGGTGCTCCGATTGATCAGCTACCGATCACTATTGGCCGATAATCACGTTGGGATGATTGATCAGCAATCGATCACTATCGGCCGATAATCACGTTGGGATGATTGATCGGCAACCGATCACTATCGGCCGATAATCACGTTGGGATGATTG